TGTGAGATGAGTGCAATTGTGCGGTAGTTTGAGCATTCTTTGGCATTGCCTTCCTTAGGGATTGGAATGAAAACTGACCTTTTCCAGTCCTGTGGCCACTGCTGAGTTTTCCAAATTTGCTGGCATATTGACTGCAGCACTTTCACAGCATCATCTTTTAGGATTTGAAATAGCTCGACTGGAATGAGAAAGGTTAAGAAGGGAAAAGGTAAAGAAGGGAAAAGGACTCAGAACCAACCTGAAGAACTCTCTTTGGAGGTCTGATGGATGAGAAGGAATTAGCAAATGGAATTCAAGGGGCCACCAGCAGGGGTAGGAAGAAATCTTTAAGGATGGTATCCTGAGGCTCCCCTGGTGGCCCAGTGGTTAAGAATCTGCCTTGCAATACTGGGGACACTGGTTTGATCCCTGGTCTGGGGAGATCCCACTTGCCTCGGGGCAGCTACGCCCTGTGCACCACAGCTGTTGAGCCTGTGCTCCGTAACAAGAGCAGCCACTGCAGTGAAGAGCCCGCCCATGGCAACGAAGCGTAGCCGCCACTTGCTGCGCCTGGAGAAAGCCCACGCACAGCAACAAAGACCCAGCACAGGCAAAAATAATTAATTACAATAAAAATAAACTAGTAAAAAAAAAATGGTATCCTGCACGGCAAGAGTTAAAGAATGTTTCAGAAGTGTCCCTTGAACACACCAGGTCTTAGGACTAGATTCTTCCTTAATGGAGCTGAGGCAGTAACTCCTGCAGAGACTGACCCTAAATTTCAGGGGCACGATCTATCCTCTCATTCTTATGTGCTCTGCCCCCTGCTGGCCATCCTGGGTATGTGCTATTCTTTGCATTTAGTCTTGCTGTCTCATCCACCCTAGGTCACCCTGAAAGCTTCTCTGGGGACACTGAACACCCTCGCTGACACCCCAGACAATGTGGTGCAGGGCAGAGGCCAGAAGCAGCTGACCATTTTGACCAGTAGCCGGAAGGTTTTGAATTTCATCCTCCAGCACGTGACATATACCAGCACAGAGTACCAGCACCATAGGGTGGATGTGGGTGAGAGCCTCTCCTTGGATGACAAAATGCTTAGGGACCCAGAAAAACACCACCAGCCCTCAAAGTCTTCCTCCTCCCAGAAGCCTGCCTCCCTGGCTCCCATTTCTAACTCTAAATACTGGACTTTCCAATTACTGTGTCCAGTAATATCCCCCCATTGCCATTGACCCCATAGGACAGGCAGAATGCCTGCTCGTGTCTCCATGAAGGCAGATGATTCACGCTGTGTACCCAGCTCTGTTCCTCATTCTCGGCAGCGAGCAGAGCTGATGATTCCAGCTGCAGCAAAGAGGATGCAGTCTGTGCACCAGTGTCTTGTCCTGGGCACTGACCGGAAAGAGGGGTGTGAGGAAACCTGCAGCTGGGAGGGCAGTAGCTTTGTCTTCCTCCTCCCATCCCAGCCCCAGAATTCCTGGGCGAATAATTGCTGACTCTAAGGGCAGCCCCAATTTCTTTCTGGATGAATTAAAGGCACTCTTTCCCATTTCGAGCAGCTCCACAGGATGCATTCCCAGGACACCCACACACACCAAAAAATGAACTGTGGGACAGATTTCCCAAGAACACAAACTAGGGAGAGAGTTCCCTCCACCTTCAGGTTTCCAAATGTTTCTTCTCACAGAATGACCCTGAGAGGTCAAATGAGGCAGGTAGGGTTTTCCTGGTTTTGTAGATGGTGAAGGAGATGAATGATTTACGCAAGGTATTTCAGATAATAAATAATAAAGTCAGACTTAACTCACCCCTCTGAGTCCAAGCCCACTTCACCCTACAGAGCCTCACGGGGAAGAAATGTGAGTTTCAGAGGCAGTCAGCGGGTTGCCCCAGGGACACACAGTGAGTCAGGAGCTCAAATGCCGTAGACTCTATGATGTCCTCCATCTCCTTCCACCAATCTTCCATTGCCCCATCTCGTTGGCTTCCTGGGCAGCATGGGGAGTGACCCAGACGCAGTACACAACTCTGACCTTATTTCTCCCTCCAGTGAGTCTGGAGTCCAACTCCTCAGTGGCCAAGTTTCCAGTGACCATCCGCTTTCCTGTTATGCCCAAGTTATATGACCCTGGACCAGGTAAGGCCCTTGTCCCTGGGGCTCCATAGTGGGTCCTATAGACTACTGATGAGATTCAGAAGGGATCCCCTCTGAGACAGAGTAGGGGAGTAGTTATAAAAACAGAGTGGTACTAGAGGAGGAATAGATATATCAATAGCATCAAATTAGAAATCTAGAAATAGACAAGTTGAAATTTTACCATATGGTAAAGGTAACTTTTCAAATTAAAGGGGGAAAAGATGGATTATTCAAAAAATCATGTGGGATAACTATAGCTATGTGGAGAATGACAAACTGAGTATATCTCACAGCTCACATCAAGATAAATTCCCAATAGAGCAAATCCTAATTTTTTATAAGTATTCAAAAAAGGGCTCCCCTGGTGGCTCAGAATCACCTGCCAGGCGGGAGACCCTGGTTTGATCTCTGGGTTGGGAAGACCCCCTGGAGAAGGAAATGGCAACCCACTCCAGTATTCTTGTCTGGGAAATCCCATGGACAGAGGAGCCTGGCAGGCTATAGTTCATGGGGTCCCAAAGAGTCAGACACGAGTTAGCAACTAAGCAACAACTAGGAAAAAAAAAACATGGAATTTTTTTTTTCCATTTATTTTTATTAGTTGGAGGCTAATTACTTTACATCATTACAGTAGTTTTTGTCATACATTGAAATGAATTAGCCATGGATTTACATGTATTCCCCATCCCAGTNGTATACGCACGTTGGGTCAGCGATTCCACTTGTATGAGTTATCCTATAGATGCTTACATCTGTGTGAAAAGACATTTGTTTGAGGGTGTTTATTGCAACATTGTTTGCAATGACAAAAACCTTAAAAATGGTTGTGTGTGTTAGTCGCTCAGGCATGTCTGACTCTTTGCGACCCAGTGGGATTCTCCAGGCAAGAGTGCTGGAATGAGTTGCCATTCCCTTCTCCAGGGGATCTTCCCGACCCAGGGATTGAACTTGAGTCTCCCTTATTGCAAGCAGATTCTTTACCATCTGAGTCACCAGGGGTTAAATCAAGTGAGGTCCATGGGTATAATGAAATGCCACGCAATGACATTTAGAAGGACAGAGGAGGAAAACATGAGCTGGAAGTGTTTTTTATACTGATACAAAATGCTTTCCAAGATGTAAGCAAGGTACAGAAAAGAGTGGAAAGTAAGCTACTATTTCTGTAAAAAGAAAGGGGTAAAGAAGATGTAACTGCTTGATTATAGAAAAATAAACAAGAAGTTAGTAATACCTGGTAAACTCCTGGGGAGGAACCAAAATGTCGGGGACAGAGATGGGAAGAAGTATTTTCATGGTATAACTTTCAGTATGTTTGGAATTTTGAGCTAGTTGGCATTTTTTACGATATTTCCTATATATTCAAAATGTAACGTTTTCAAAAAAAAAAGTAACGTATTCAGATAGATTCTATTAAAAATATCTTATTCAATAGGCTTAAGTAGCTACGGAGAGGAATTTACAGTATGTGCTTATCATCATCATAACTATCTCAAAAATAAATCAGCACAAGTTCACAAAAAAGCTTTTTTGACTTCAGATTTGTCTTAAAGGTGAAGTATTACCCATAAAATGGAAATCTCCACAGTCCTATTTCCCTCCCTTCTTCCAACAGTCATGGTCTTTCTTTTCCTGGTTTCTGTACATTTTAATATGTAGATTTCCATTGCAACACACAGGTGCACACACAGAGCATACAGTGTGGTATAATGCATTTTTGAACTTTTCATAAAACTTATCACATTATATGGCATAGAATTCTAGTTTCTGGCCTTTTATCAGTCCATGGCTTGTCTTTTGGTTTTGCTTCTGGGGTCTTTTGTGTTATAAAACTTCATCCTTTAATAAAATTGATTCATTGTTTTTTTCTAGCTTTTGCTTTTTTGCCTTAATTCAAGAAATTCTTCCAACATTGAAGCCATAAAGATATTCTCCTGTATTTTTTTTCAAAAGTTACATATGCTTGTTTCTCACATTTAGATATTTAATCCACCTAGAAGTTACGTTTATGCGTGGCATGTGATAGGGACCTAGTATTTTACACATGGAGAGCCTATTGTCCCACCACCATGGACAAAGTGGTCCAGCCTTGTCCTCAGCCCCTCACACACACAGCTTCATGCATGTAGGGGTTTGAACCAGCCTTTGTTGAGTCGCATTGATCTGTATCCTGGGGCTCGTTTTACAACATTTCCGTATGCTCTATAACAGGTTTTCTATCTAGTGCGGATAAATTCTGTATTGCAGGATGACTGTACTTCATTTAATGAAATGTTCTTAGCTCTTCTTGGTCATTAACTTTTTCATTAGAGTTTTAGCATCAGCTCATCAAGATCACCCAAAATGCCTTGAGATTTTGATTACAATTTTCTAAAATTTGTTGATTAATTAGAGATGAATTGACAGTTTTATGAAGTTGAATATTCGCAACCATGAATCTGCTATACCTCTCCATGTGATACTCTCCATGTCATAGTCTCTTCATAGGTTCTTCAGTAATTTATTTTGTAGTTTTATTTGTAAAGGAATTGTACATTTTATTGGATTTGGTCTTAGGTAGTTTATATATATATTTTTTACTTTTATAAATTGGATTTTGTTCTACATTTTAATTGATGTTAGTATATAGGACATTAGTGATTTTTGAATGTTGGACTTTAATAGGCATCCTTCTTGCACACATATTAGTGATTTTTTTTTTAACATATAGAGTCTCTTAAACAAATAACGATTTTTATCTCTTCCTTTACAATTCTTATCGTTTGTTTCTTTTTCGTGTCTTAATGCATTTTGCTAAAATCTTCAGTACAGTGTTGAATAATAGCAGTGGTAGCACACACTTTTGCCTGTTCCTGACTTTAAGAACCTTCTAATGTTGTACCACTATTCTTGTTTGCTGGGTAGGAGTGTGATAGATGTGTCAGGGTAAGAAAGTTTCCTTCTTTCCTTCTGTTTCTAAGAATTTTTCTATTTCTACTTTCTATTTCCTTGCTGAGAGTTTTCATATTTATATGAATAAGTATTGAATTTTATCAAAGAAATTATCTGCACCCACTGAAATAATTTTTCTCCTTTAACTGCGTTCATGAAGTGACTTACATTGATTTTTTTGCTGTTGAAATTGTTCTTGCATTTTTGGGATAAACCCATCTTGATTGCAGTGCATTATTTGATTAAATGCTCAATTACATTTGTTGCTATTTTATATAGGATTCTTACATCTGTATTCAAAACTGAGACTGTCTTTTTCTGTAATGTCCTTGCTCAGTTTTGTTATCAATATTATACAAGTCTCATAAGACAAGTTAGATACCTTTCCTTTTTCCACTGTTTTCTGAAATGAATTGAATTGTAATAAAATAGGAATAATATGTCTCTTGGGGTTTTATTAAAACTTGTCTGTCCTTTTGTCTTTTTTTTTTTTTTCTGTCCAAGTTTTGGGGAAGGTGGTTGGGGTGTGAATGTGAATGGGAAAGAGAGAGAGAAAGGGAAGAAATTTAAAACTAACAGCTCTACCACTTTAATGGTTATTGATCTATATGTACATGAGTCAATTTTTTAAATGTTTCTATAAAGTTGTCTTAAAGTTAACATAAATTGTCTATTTTTTTTGCCATAAGTTGTTCATAGAATTCTCTTATGCTTGTTAAAAATTTTTTTAATATCTTAAGTCATGTCTCCCTTTTGATTCTTTGTATATATCTTAAATAATTTTAAGTTGGTTTCATATCTAACTATTCTCATTTCTTTTATGCCTGTCTCGTTTCATATTTTCCTTTTCATATATGTGATTCTATGAGTTATCACTTTAAAGGTTTTAAACATTCTCACTTTAAGTCCCTTTCAGATTCGTCTATTGTTTGTCTATCTAGAGTGGATACTTCTAGCATGGCGTGGATTTGCCAGCTGTTGTTCTTTCAAACTAGTTTTCTTTGAATGTCTTGGGATTTTTGCTGGTGGCTCATCTTGAATATGAGGCTTTACAAGCTTGTTTTGTTTTCTCCTCTCTCCCTCTTTCTCTCTCCTGATTCCTTCCCATCTCACAGCTTTATAGTTGCCCCAGATTCTCAGTCTATCATCATATACTACAGTCTTGGGGCCCCTGTCCCCTAGTGATATGGGCATCACCAAAGAGCCAGTTGCTGGGCCTAAGGGTGGCTTGGCATAGGACACGGCTGGGTGAGATGCTGTCATCGATGAACCCAGAGGTGTGTTTGGGGATGATGGCTCTTTGAAGTTCCTTGCCCAGCGGGTAGTATGTCGTGAGAGCTGGAGGGAGTGCAGCCTGGCTCCAGTCCATGGTTTCTAGCAAAAAACCTGGTTGTGGACCCACATACTTCATGAGACACTTTTTTATTCCATTAACACTCAAACTCTGCCTCCCAGCCTCTGCTGTTCTGACCCCAGATTGCAGCAGACCCAGCTCCAGCTCTGCTCACTGCTTTTGATTCCTGTTCCTTGGGAGAAATGTCATCTGTTTTTGAACATGGCTCTGTCTTTGCATATTTCTTTATCATTGCTCTGTGTTTAGAACAATAAACAATCTCAAAGCAGAATGCTATACCACCCACCTGGCCGGGAGTCTCCCACCTTGACTACCTCTGTGGTAACTCAGGCTCCTGATCCTCTCTTTACTGTAATGAAAGGACCAAATTTGTCACGTGGTCTGAGAAGAGAAAAGGTAGGAGAGCTTTCATTTGACACGCTCTCGAACATGGTTTACGTGACTCTTTCTGTTACCGAGCCCTTTCCAGATTCTTGGACCATACCATACCATAGAAATGAATATCACTTCCATAAGACTCTTCAGCATGCAAAGCCTTTTATTCACAGAGATAGTTTGTGCATAGAAGAGAAGGCAGGGATAATGCCAGCTCACCAGGTAAAATGGGGTGAGTTGCTTTTATAGCAAAAGGGATGGTTTGTCTCATGATCACTGATAATTTCCAGAAATCATCAAATTTCTTGGATCAGCTGCAGGTGGCTGCATGATGGCTGTCAGAAATACAGAGTGTTTCTGTGTGGGGGAAGAAATGCATGAGAATTTTCTTCAAGAAAGCCCAAGAATAGATATGGTTAAAATTTACAGTTGAGCTTCTTGTCTTGTAGCAACTAGGTATACTCAGTAGTGGACCAGAGGTAACATTAATCTTTTATTTCTGTGATCCTAGTTTCTCCCCCCAGGACTTGGATCCCAAGAGCCTTTGTTCTTTAGTTTACAAGGCTTGTTTTGCCCAAGGCCAGTCTTTTTCTGAAGTGACTGTATTATTGTCTTCCTGTCTTACTTCCACTCACTCCCAAAGACTCAGGAGGAGCTGGGTAATGGTGCAACATGTATTTAAAAAAGGAGATCGGGGATGACCTCTGACTTCCGTCATTCTGAGAAAGTGGCTCTGCAGTGGGGTTCTGTTGCACTCACGCGCAAACAGGTGGTGGGGTGTGACTTTCAGCATGTGTTAACTCCAGTTGATCCCACCCCACCAGACGACCCACCTGCCTATCAGCTAGCATGGCTCCATTCTGTGGCTAGATCTCCTAAACACACCAGCAGCTATGGTTGTTTGACCCAAGGGTCTTTTCCATAGAAAGGCTGTCCTTTCTCCAACTGTTTCTATAAATCACACAACCTGGTCTGCCCACTTCCCATCTCCAAGTGGACCTGTTTCTGCTTACATCTTCCAGAGGATAAAGATCAGGCAAATTTCTCTGTAGGAGTGCAGCTGATGACAGGGCAGGTCTCAAGTCCTTTAGAGCTTTTCTCCTCTTCCTGGGCCCTGTGACACTACATAGCAAATTCCTTGATGGGCAAGGCTCTATGCATCTCAACTCCTAGCATGAAAGCAGGATACAAGCCCAGTACAGACAGGCAAGCATAAAATGAAAGGTCCAGGTAAATAGTAGGAAGCAGCAGAATGGAACCAACAGAACCAGGAAAGAGACTTTAGAATAGAACACAGACAAAATTTTAACAAATCATTATGGTTGTTTTTCAGTTGCTTAGTCATGTTTGTTGACACTTTGCAACACCATGAACTGCAACACGCCAGGCTTCCCCATTCTTTACCATTTCCTGGAGCTTGCTCAAACTCACGTCCATTGAGTCAGTGATGCTATCCAACCATCTCATCCCATCACCCCCTTCTCCTCCTGCCCTCAATCTTTCCCAGCATCAGGGTCTTTTCCAATGACTTGGCTCTTAGCATCACGTTGCCAAAGTATTGGAGCTTCAGCATCAGTCCTTCCAATGAATATTCAGGGTTGATTTCTTTTAGGATTGACTGGCTTGATCTCCTTACAGTCCAAGGGAGGACTCTTCAAGAGTTTTCTCCAGCACCACAATTTGAAAGCATCAATTCTTCGGTGCCCAACCTTCTTTATGGTCCAACTCTCACATCTGTACATGACTACTGGAAAAACCACAGCTGTGACTATACAGATCTTTGTTGGCAAAGTGAAGTCTCTGCTTTTTAATACACTGTCTATGTTTGTCATAGCTTTTCTTCCAAGGAACAAGTGTCTTAATTTCATGCAGTCACTGTCTGCAGTGATTTTGGAGCCTAAGTCTGTTTGTACTTTTCCCCCATCTATTTGCCTTGAAGTAATGGAACCAGATGCCATGAAAAACAAATAGGGTATGTTTAAATATATTTTTCTAATCCAACTAATGAACTCTTATTAAGCACTGACTGTATACAAGAGGCTTGAGGTCCACAAACACTTGAGAGGTCGTGATATAGAGAAACCCTCAGAATGACACAAGTCAAGACAGTGAGGCTTCCCAAAGACAGAACTCTGATGTCTACCTTTTCTTGCTCAGAGAGGAAACTCAGAAACCTGGTATCCATTGCCACCAAAACTTTCCTCCGTCCCCACAAGCTCATGACCATGCTCCAGAGCATTCGTGAGTATTACCCAGACTTGACCGTGATTGTGGCTGATGACAGCAAGGAGCCCCTGAAAATTAATGACAGCCATGTGGAGTATTACACCATGCCCTACGGCAAGGTATGTCCCTCCCGGGTGGGGAGACACCTGAATCCTGGGACAAGAGGGCCTCAGTCAGTGTCAGGTCCTTACCCAGGAGGGGCCAGCTTCAGTAGACTTTGCAAGACAGCAAGATCCTGGCATGGGAGGGTGTGGGATTCTCCTCTGAGTCCTTTTACTGACTTCAAAGTCACAGAGAAATCAGGTCACTTTCCCTTTTCTGCATTAACAGGGTGGTTAATCCACCTTTTCTCATGCATGGTTTAGAAATTGATTGTGATCCTTCTAAGTGACTTGCAGCGTCTGACAGTCTAGTTTCCTGGCTTGCAGGTCCAAGAGCAGAGAAACTGCTCATCCCTATGATTTCACCCTCGCTGATGCGTCTCCTCCACTCACTTTCCTTCAATCAAAGGAGGAGGTGGACATGATACACACCAGAGTGCCCCTCCCCCCCGCAACAGCTTCCAGGCTACATGAGGGGAAAGGGCTTGAGAGCCCAGAGACTCTGTCCCGTGAAAAGAGACTCCCATCAGTCCATACTGGCCACAGGGCCAAGGAAGGACTCTCCCCTTTCTTGGTCTGTGTTTGACCCAGAGAGCCCCTGTCCTTCTCCCAGTGTCTCTGACGCATGGCCTCCCTTTAACCTAGAGGTTCCCGGCCACTGTTTGGGGTGCAGTGCAGCGTGGCTCTTGGGAACTGAGAAAGCTGCCAGTGACGCTGATGGGTAGCAGGGCAGGCCACCACCATCTAACCTCACTCTGCTCACAGGGTTGGTTTGCTGGTAGGAACCTGGCCATATCTCAGGTCACCACCAAATACGTTCTCTGGGTGGACGACGACTTTCTCTTCAGTGACAAGACCAAGATTGAGGTGCTGGTGGATGTCCTAGAGAAGACCGAACTGGATGTGGTAAGGGAGAGCTGCTGGTTCTGCCTCCTCTGAGTGACAAGCCAGAGGGGAAGGGAGGGAGAAGGGCAGAGAGGGGAGTGCGCGGGGAGGCGGAGAGGGAGAGAGGCGGGGGAGCCAGTGCGGGAGACGAGGGGCTGAGACCTCCACATGGAGTCAGATGTGCGAGTTCTGCTTCTGCCTCCGTTCTTTTCTTTGAGTGAATTACACCAACCCCCACCCCCCAAATGCACCATTGTTCCATCTTTGAAATGTCGTGTTTATGCATCACTTCTGACTTCCTCCCTGCGGTGGTGGGAGAAGGCAAGCAGGGCTCTGGTTCTGTCACACGCCCTTACAAACATGCAAATGGCAGGAAGCTGTGAAAGCACGTGTAGCCTTAATGAGATGAAAAAAGATAACAAAAACATCAAAAATCCATTCACATACAGAAAAGAGAAGAAAAATGTGAGAATAATTAGTAATACTGCATTGTATCTTGAAATTTGCAGAGATGATTATACTGTGTAGAGATGATGGATCTGTTAATTAGTTTGAGTGCGGTGATCTTTTCGCAATGTATACATCTATCGAAACATGTATAACCTCAAAATATGCAATTTTAATATGTCAAAGAAAAAGCTGTTAAAAAGAAAGAAAATGGATAAGAAGTAGCACAGTGACCATGGTTATCTCTTACTCCAAGCGGACAGTCCCCAAAGTGTCTGGCTTGACTAAGATGTCTCTAGAGACCCAATCACAGTAGCGTAAATGACATAGAAGGTACAGGTCCTGCCCTTGTAATGAGAGCTAGTGCTGGACTCTCCTTCCAGAGGCATCCTGGACCAGCTCCATTCCCCGTTGTTCGTCCATTTTTGTTGTCCTCGGCTGTATGGTCAGAAGAAATGGGGAAAGGGCAATTGAAAGACAAGCAGTTTTCTTTTAAGAATGTGATATTTATAAAAGTAGCAAAAAAAAAAAAAGTAGCAAGCATCTGTTTTAAACTACATCCTTGCAGCCAAGACTTAGACACACGGTCAAAACTTGCAAGGGAAGCGGGAAATTTTCAACTTTCAGCTTGGGATAGTAGCTAGACCTTGACTTCGTCCATCAAAACTCAGTCCATTTACTAAGAGGAGGAGAGAAAGAATAGGGGACAGCAGACAGCACACTGCTGTGTCCCTCTGGGTGGTTATGATGGCTCAGGAACAGATATACTTGCCTGTCCTGTTTTGCTTAGGCTCCAATATAGAGATGTACTCATCTCCCATGAGTGCAGGGACAGGCAGCGCAGAGAGGTGAGCCAAGAACAGAGAATGGGAGGATGGAGCCTGAGACAGACGGCTGGCTGCAGGGAGTCCACATAGGGACCCTTGGATATGCAGGCTGCCTCTCGCCTGCGCCCAAACACTGCTTCTCCTACCAGAAGGGAGTCAGCCACCTGGAAAAAGTGAGCTTGCAGGAGGGCAAGCACAGCAGAGTTGTCTGCCCTTTGGACTTGGTGTAGGCCTAGTATGAAGGGTAGATAGAGAAAGGGTGTGATTCTTGTCATAACAGCTTCAATCCAGTAAGGCTTCCTGGCAGGGGCTACATGGATATCGTCTATTCTCTAATGCAGATTTCTCTGCCCACTGGCTAGGTAGGTGGCAGCGTGCTTGGAAACACGTTCCAGTTTAAGCTGTTCCTGGAGCACAGTAAGAACGGGGACTGTCTCCATCGGCGGACAGGATTTTTCCGGCCCCTGGACGGCTTCCCCAACTGCGTGGTGACCAGCGGCGTGGTTAACTTCTTCCTGGCCCACACAGAGCGGCTCCAAAGAGTTGGCTTTGACCCCCGCCTGCAGCGAGTGGCTCACTCAGGTGGGAAGGCTGGGGGGGGAGAGGACTGGGCTGTGGACTGACCTCAGGAGTCTGCGCTCCCCCAGGGAGGGCCGTGTGCCACAGACGCAGGCAGCTGCCCATGCTCCCCACACTGGGGAGCCCACAGTTGGGCCTGCCTCCCTCCACTCTCTCTGCCTTCTTGCCTCCCACAGGCCGTTCCTCCTTCTCTGAGATGCCCTTCCCCTTCCTCTCCCTACAGCTCTGGCCCCTACCTGCTGCTGCACCTCCATTTCCAGACTTCCTTTCCTCTGTAACTGCAGCTGGTGAACTTCCTGTCTTAAACTGCCCTCAGTCCTGGAGTCCCCAGTTCCATCCAGTTGGAGCTAATCTGTGTCTCTCTATCCATATCACTGTCTGTCCTTCTAATTCATTAGCCTGGGCAGGTGGTTCCACATGGGTGGAACCATCCCAAGGGTGTAAACCGTGTCCCCTCCCCCGACTCTCCTTCCGGACCTGCAATAGGGCCCTGGGTCTGTGGCTTGAAGGTCACATTTCCTTCTCTTGCTTCCCCTCTCTTGGCAGAGTTCTTTATTGATGGGCTCGGGAGCCTACTCGTGGGGTCCTGCCCAGATGTGATTATAGGTCACCAGCCCCATTCTCCAGTGGAGGACCCAGACCTGGCAGCTCTGGAGAAGACCTACAGCATATACCGGGCCAACACCAATAATGAGATCCAGTTCAAGCTAGCTCTCCACTACTTCAAGAACCGTCTCCAATGTGCCACATAAAGATTCCTGGGCACTGGCAAAGTGCTATGTCAACCAGTTGCAAGTATCTAAAACAGAGGAATTGGAGAATGAGCTACAAAAAATGTGAACTCCCGATAAGATGAATAGGGTAGATGGGTCTGGCTAAGTTACTGTAGGTCATTAGAAATGGACCAATCACAGATCAAGGTACTGGAGATTGTATTAATAATAATTATTATTGATCACCATTTGTGAATCACTTGTACACACCTGATGCGAAGACCTGACTCATTTGAAAAAACCCTAATGTTGGGAAAGATTGAAGGCAGGAGGAGAAGGGGACAACAGAGGATGAGATGGTTAGATGGCATCACCGACTCAATGGACATGAGTTTGGGTAAACTCTGGGAGTTGGTGATGGACAGGGAGGCCTGGCGGTTCCTGGGGTAGCAAAGAGTCGGACATGACTGAGCGACTGAACTGGACTGAACTGAACTGTGCATATAGTGGTGGTGGTGGTGGTGGTTTAGGCACTAAATCGTGTCCAACTCTTGGCTCACATCATCGCATGCAAAAGAGCACATGATGGGCTGGTATCCTTGATCAAAAGGATTGGTATCCTTCTGGGTCCTTGAGGGTTATTTGGTGGGTATTACATCACAGATCATCTCCAGCATCAACTGGCATCCACAAATTTTTATTTGGTCCTACTTCATGGACTCAAATAATGTGAATAACCCAGAGTCCTTAACCTTGAAGAAGTGGCAGCCTGGTTCATTTCATTCCATTAGTAGCATTCGGCAGCCAGGCTCAGAGGATCAGAGGAGGGAGAACTCACAAGGGCAGGTGAGGAGGGCTCGTTGGAGTCAGCTTACCTGGAGTCCAGCACATGGATGGGATGCAGGAAGGTGAAGGGTAGAAATCACTGGGGTAGTCCACTCACTCCTGGAATAAAGCTTTCCCTGGCATCAGATACCTACCATAAAGACACATTCCAGAATGCCTGGGATTGAACTTGGACCTTGTGCTGAGTTACTTTGTAAGCACAGTGGCCAAGCCACTAAATTCCAGGGCCTTAAGATCGGTTGCTTACTACTCAAGATTGACGTCATCTGCAGAATGGAGCCATCATGACGACGCGGGTTTTCTCTGTTATCTTGGGAGTCAGTGGATTCTCCCACTGCTGCACTGCTTTTTTCTACTCTTTGCTACTGATGACAGCCACAGTAGCTCAAAATCTCTGAAAAATGTGTGAGATATTAATTCATGAAAAATGTTTTGGTATTATTAAATTATTTAAAATAATTTAAAAAAATACTGCATGCTCTATCTCTTTGACAGCCACAATTCCTATTAGTATATTCAAGGCTCTGAGAAGTCCTGCTGTGAAGAAATTGGCTTAACTTCAATTCAGCATTTCTCAGATATGGATACAGACTGGCTATCATTTTTTTGTTCTCCAAACACGAATAAGGCACATACCTCATTCCATTGTATATGTCATAATGATTCTGTTGCAAAACTTTTGTAACTTTTAACTAATGTGCATAACCATTTAGTACAATAGTATATGTATTTTATGTATAATACCATAGCTATAAAGGGAGACGATGTTGGCTTGCTCCATTCAGTACTGTCCTTAGACCCAGGCAAGATGAGACCCTACCTATGCTTTAGAGAACTCTGCATATCACAGACACGTGTATTTATTTTAAAAACCAAACAAACTCACAGAAGAAGAGATCACATTTGTGGTTACCAGAGGCAGGTGGTGGAGGAAGGGAAGATTGGATGAAGGTGGTCAGAAGATATAGACTTCCAGTTATAAGATAAATAAGTTAAGTACGAGAGCTGTAGTGTACAGCATGATAAATATAAGTAATGCTACTGTGTGTTATATATGAAAATGGTTAAGAGAGTAAATCCTAAGAGTTCTCATCACAGGAAAAAATATTATTTTTCTATTTCTTTAATTTTGTATCTATATGAGATGGTAGATATTCACTAAACTTATGGTGATAATCACTTTATGATATCTGGAAGTCCAATCATTATGCTCTACATTTTAAACTTAAACAGTTGTAGTTGATGTTTTTGTTCAGTCACTCATTTATGTTTGACTTCTTGCCACCCCATAAATTGCAGCATGCCAGTCCTTTACCATCTCCCGGAGTTTGCACAAATTCATGTCCATGACGCCATCCAACCGTCTCATCCTCTATTGTCCCCTTCTCCTTCTGCCTACAATCTTTTCCAGAATCAGGGTCTTTTCCAATGACTTATGGCTCTTTACATCAGGTGGCCAAAGTATTGGAGCTTCAGCTTCAGCATCAGTCCTTCAGTGAATTTTCAAGGTTGATTTCCTTTAGGATTGATTGGTTTGGTCTCCTTGCAGTCCAAGGGACTCTCAAGAGTCTTTTCCAGCACCACAATTCAAAAGCGCTAATTCTTCAGCACTCAGCCTTCTTTATGGTCCAACTCTCACACCATACATGACTAGAGGAAAAACCGTAGCTTTGACTATGCGGATCTTTGTCAGCAAAGTAATGCCTCTGCTTTTTAATATGCCTGTCTATGTTTGTCACAGCTTTTCTTCCAAGGGGCAAGTGGCTGCACTTGCCGTCATGGCTGCAGTCACCGTCCGCAGTGACTTTGGAGCCCAAGAAAAGAACGTCTGTCACTGTTGCCATCGTTTCCCCGTCTGTTTGCCATGAAGTGATGGGACCAGATGCCATGACCTTAGTTTTTTGAATGTTGAGCTTTAAGCCAGCTTTTTCACTCTCCTCTTTCACCTTCATCAAGAGACTCTTTAGTTCCTCTTTACTTTCTACCATAAGTAAGTGTCATAAGTGGTGTCATCTGCCTATCTTAAGTTATTGATATTTCTCTCGGCAATCTGGATTTCAGCTTGTGCTTCATCCAGCCTGGCATTTTGCATGATGTACTCTGCATGTAAGTTAAGTAAGCAGGGTGACAATGTACAGCCTTCACAGACTCCTTTCCCAATTTGGAACCAGTACGTTGTTCCATGTCTGATTCTAACTGTTGCTTCTTGTCCTGCATACAGGTTCCTCAGGAGGCAGGTAAGGTGGTCTGGTATTCCCATCTCTATAAGAATCTTCCACAGTTAGCTGTGATCCACACAAAGGCTTTAGCGTAGTCAGTGAAACAGAAGTAGATGTTTTGCTGGCGTTCTCTTGCTTTTTCTGTGATTCAACGGATCTCGATAATTTGATCTCTGGATCCTTTGACTTTTCTAAATCCAGCTTGTACATCTGGAAGTTTTGGGTTCAGACTGCTGAAGTCTAACTTGAAGGATTTTGAGCCATACCTTATTAACATGTGAAAGGAGTGCAATTGTGTGGTAGTTTGAACAGTTTTTGGCATTGTCCTTCTTGGGGATTGGAATGAAAACTGACCTTTTCCAGTCCCGTAGCCACTGCTGAGTTTTCCAAATTTGCTGGCATGTTGAGTGCAGCACTTTAACAGCATCATCTTTTAGGATTTGAGATAGCTCAGGTAGAATTCCATCACCTCCACTAGCTTTGATCATAGTGATGCTTCCTAAGGCCCACTTGACTTCAGACTCTAGGATGTCTGTTTCTAGGTGCATGATCATACCATCGTGGTTATCCGGGTCATTAAGAGATCTTAATGAACTTGTATAGTTCCTCTGTGTATTCTTGCCACCTCTTTTTATCATCTGGTTCTGTTAGGTCTATATCGTTTCTCTCCTTTATTGTGCCCATCTTTGCATGAATGTTCTCTAGGTATCTTTAATTTTCTTGAAGATATCTCTAGTCTTTCCCATTTTATTGTTTTTCTCTATTTATTTGCGTTGTTCACCGAGGAAGGCTTTCTTATCTCTCCTTGCTATTCTTTGGAACTCTGCATTCAGATGGGTATATCTTTCCTTTTCTCCTTTGCCTTTCGCTTCTCTTCTTTTCACAGCTATTTGTAAGTCCTCCTCAGACAACCATTTTGCCTTTTTGCATTTCTTTTTCTTGGGGATAGTCTTGATCACTGCCTCCTGTACAATGTCATGAACCTCCATCCATAGTTCTTCATGCAGTCTATCTATCAGATCTAATCCCTTGAATCTATTTATCACTTCCACTGTATAATTGTCGGGGATTTGATTTAGGTCATACCTGAATGACCTAGTGGTTTTCCCTGATTTCTTCAATTTATACAGTGCTGTTGGTCAATTATATCTCAATAAAACTGAAGGAAAAGAACAAACACATGTGTTTACTTATGCTGGGCATCTCTGTCACTCGGGATCTAGTGCTCAGCACCAGGACAGCATAACCTGCTTCCCTAAATATCTGCTCTGAGACTAGACACTGTCCAGGCCCCAGAGAAATGCTTCTCTATTCCTCTTGCCCTGTGTTCTCAAAACAAAAGACGGTTGCATCCAAATGCACTGAAAATCTGTGGACAGTGCTTTGAAATGTAGGTAAGATTCGAGCAGCAAAGTGCTTAGGTAAAAGAAAAAGACACATTTTTAAATTTGTCAAATTCTTCCTCTCAAAATAAATAACAATAAAGTCTTTCTCACTAGCTAGTGTGTATTTTCTTGCCTTTTAATGCATGGTTACAAAAGTGCTAGAAAATTAGTGTGCTGTTCACAATTGCATGTGTGGCTTAAGAACAATTAAAAATAGTAAGAAATTTTTATTACTCTTTAGTTTTTATACATGTGGTTCTAGCTGTATCATGCTTAAGTTTTCAAAACTTAAATCTAACTATAAAAACAACAGTTTTACAGTATTTTGGATTTTGCCTTTTGAAGATAAATTTGTCAAGGTAAGAGGATAGTGAAAGTCATTCAGTCATGTCTGACTCTTTGCAACCCCATGAACTATATAGTCCATGGAATTCTCCAGATCAGAATACTAGAGTTATGCTTTTCCCTTCTCCAGGAGATCTTCCCAACCCAGGGGTCAAACCCAGGTCTCCCACATTGCAGGCAGATTCTTTACCAGCTGAACCACAAGGGAAGACAAGAATACTTAGTGACTGGCCTATCCCTTCTCCAGCAGATCTTCTCAACCCAGGAATCGAGCCAGGGTTTCCTGCATCGCAGGCAGATTCTTTACCAACTGAGCTATCTGGGAAAAATTTACTTTTAACAGTTTGCTAGCTTTAGTTATTATAGCGTTTACATGTATAAAAATAATTAAAATATACTTCAAATATTGAGACATTTAATTTGTCCCAGGCCTGGTTCCCCACTCCCCCCAAAAAAATTCTATCTTCCTCATGAATTGGGGCCTTAGTTCCCTGATCGGGGATCAAAACTTTGTCCCCTGCAGTGGAAGCATGGAGTCTTAACCAATGGACCACCAGGTAGGTCTCTTGCATTCTTGATACAGGGAGATAGAGGTCATGGCAACTGTAGCATCTTTGAACATCCTCCAGCAGGGACTGTTGTGATGTGCTGCAGTTACCATCAGTAGGCTCCAGGAAAATCTTGTTCCCAAGATCTGGAACCTTCTACTCCAGCCAAGACTCCAAGAAGAGTTCTTAAAATGGAGGATGTTTGCTTAAACCATGAGCCAGTTCTCCAAGAAAATTTCTCTAGGAATAGATCAAATTCCCAGAGTGTGACTCCACATCCTGGTCTTACTATATTGGATCAAGAGAAGCTGAATTACTCACTACCCAAGCCGATTGTCTCTCTTGGAATGTGAATTGGATCTGAAAACATAAAGTGGGTGACTGCACAGCGGAGTGCTCCCATATGCTATTTGGACTGGGGAGCAGAAAAGGCTAGACTGCAGTGAGAAAAGGAATTCAACATAAGCACAAAGAGAAGCTGAAATGAGAGACTTCTGGCAGCCTTCTGGTTCTTTCCTGAGGTCTGGCTATGGTCCTGCCCTGGGGTTTTGTAAAACACTATATCCTTATAATCTTTTTTTCTTAACCTAATTTGAGTTGCTTCCTGTGACTTACAAGCAAAGTGTCCTAAATAATACAACTATTCTGTGTATCTGTGTTTTCAAAACGGGCATAAATAAAATGTTTTCTCTTTGGGTAGTTTGGAAGCCAAAATCAGGTCATAGAGAATAATCCCTCCATGGGCCTCCCTCCAGTCTTGAATTTCAGACACAATCTGATCCAAGAGCAGCCTGGATCAAACCAATAACAAAGGTATCCTTCCAGGACAGTGAAGGGCCTCTGCTATTTCCTGCTAAACAACAAATTCCTGGACTGATGGACATGCCTGCGTGCTAAGTTGCTTCAGTCGTATCTGACGCTTTGCGACCCTGTGGACTGTAGCTCCTCTGTCCATGGGATTCTCCAGTCAAGAATACTAGAGTGGATTGCCATGTCCTCCTCCAGGAGATCTTCCTGACCCAGAGACTGAACCTGTGCCTCAGGTCTCCTGCATTGGCAGAGGTGGGTTCTTTACCACTAGTGCCACCTGCAAAGCCTGAGACAAATTGGTGCAAAAAATTGTGTGGGCCTCCAGGGGGCGTTCAGGTCCTGTCCGTTTCCCCTCTACTAAGTCCCACTCCCCAGCTCTGGAAAGGAAAATTTCTATGAGTTTCAGAAAGAGGAATCCTGTTGGTTACCGGGCTAGTGGTCTTTTTCTTGAATACATGAGGTATGTCTATTTCATGTGACTGAAGTAGAAATGGCGGGGGGGTGGGGGGTGTGTGTGAAAAGACAGCTCTCAGAATGGGAGAAAATAATAGCAAACGAAGCAACAGACAAAGGATTAATCTCAAAAATATACAAGCAACTCCTGCAGCTCAATTCCAGAAAAATAAGTGACCCAATCAAAAAATGGGCCAAAGAACTAAACAGACATTTCTCCAAAGAAGACATACAGATGGCTAACAAACATGGAAAGATGCTCAACATCACTCATTATGAGAGAAATGCAAATCAAAACCACAGTGAGGTACCATTACATGCCAGTCAGGATGGCTGCTATCCAAAAGTCTACAAGCAATAAATACTGGAGAGGGTGTGGAGAAATGGGAACCCTCTTACACTGTTGCTGGGAATGCAAACTAGTACAGC